GCCCAGGAGTCTGAGGTTGCTGTGAGCTAGGCTGACGCTACGGCACTCACTCTAGCCAGGGCAACAAAGTGAGACTCTGTCTCAAAAAAAAAAAAAAAAAAGTTGATATTGAGTAAGCAGAAAACATTTGGGATACTGTGTCTGGTCTGGCTGCCATATTATATATAAGATCTTGACAAATTAAGAGAATTTCCAAAGAAGAGTAGCCAAGGGATGTATATAGCATATTATGAGAAACGACTAAGGAAACTAAACTGTTTAGCAGGAAGAAAAAAGGAATCAGAGGTTATGTGACAGTTGTTAAAACAGCTAGAAACCAATATAGTTTTATATATTATAAAAACAATCATTTTTATGGTAAGCAGTGTGGGTTCTAGAGTCAACCTGGCTTCACTGCAGTTACGAGCTATGCAACTCGGGCTTTTCCCGTGTGTAAGGATAGTAACAGCCCCCGCATCTCACAGGGCTGCATGAAGGACTACATAGACTAAAGTTAGATGACACACAAAGTACCTAGCACTTACGTGCCTGGCGCATACATGCTCAAAAACTGTTAGCTGTTGTTACACTGTTTAAATAATTTGCTCTTAGCCATACTTCTCTTTAACTTCACCACCCCTGTACCTTTCCCTGTCCCATTCCTTCATTCTTGCCTGCCACTCGAGACCGCAAAATCCTTTCCATTAATAGGAAAACAGTTGCTGCTAAGGTAGCAATTCGGTCAAAATTCATGAGACTGCATCCTAAAGCAGGTGAATTCTACTGTATGTAAATTATACCTCAATAAACCTAACCTTAAAAATACGTATTTGCTTATTTTTCAAAAAGAAACAAAAGAAGGATAAACCAGAAAATGATTACCCATCAGAGCAGAAAGACTGGAGTAGAAAGATGAGATCAAGACTCTATAAATGTACCTTTTGACTTTCAAGCCACGTAAATGTTTTTTATATTTGAAAAAATTAAATCAAAAAGGGAAAAATAAAACTGCCAAAAGGTAATTTCTGTTAAACAAAGGAGATAACTGAAATTTTCCTAACATCAAGAGCTCCATGAAAGAATAAAAATTTATAAAAAACAAACACAAACCTTGTTTAAAAGAATTTTATTTAAACTCTTAAACTCCTATGAAGGCACTTTATTTGAATTAAATTTTCACAGTCATTTAAAAGAATTAAAATAATTTCAAAACGACCATCACACTAGTAACTGCTCCAACTGAATAAGGAACCATTCCTTTCTTTTCCCAACTGTCACTCTCGACCTAGCCACGATTCTGTGTGGTGTTTTTGACCTTCTGGCCATCGTGTCTTTGAACATTTTATACCCAATATTTTCTTCCCTAATAAGTAAATAAATGAAGTTAGAGAAACTGCCAAGATAATTCAAACTGGGTTTACAGATGAGAAAACTTTCCAACACTAATGCCAAAATAATTATGAGAGAATTTATCAGCAGTTTTCCTAGTCTCCCAATCTAAACCTTCCCCTCCTCTCAACTCCTAGAGCATCACCATCTACAAAATTCATCTACCTTTCACTTATACAGATTTATCATTCTTCAAACCACTCTGTACAACTAAAACACCAAAGAACAGAAGGTCTTTTCTAAGGGTGTTTGCTATTTAAGAGAAGACACCAGATTAGGAAATGTTAACAGGAATCTTTAGTGAGAGAAGAGAAAATAATTTGGGGCAGATAATAAAATTACTCCAAACTCACTGGGAATTCCTAAAATCAGAGATGTTGGGGAATGACAATAGTGCCAACAGCAGTCCCTGACCTTTTTGGCACCAAGGACCATTTTCATGGAAGACAATTTTTCCACGGACTGGGGAGGAGGGATGGTTTCGGGATGATTCAAGCACATTACATTTACCGTGCACTTTATTTCTATTATTACGCTGTAATATATAATGAAATAATTATACAACTCACCCCTGAACTAGAAGATGAGCTTCACCAGAACAGAGTACTTCTCTTTTCTTTTTTGACAGGTTGGACAACAGAGCACAGGGGTCAGCTCAGGAACACAAGGGCTCTGGAGCAGCACCACCGGTGTTTCAACTCCGACCCTGCTACTTACTATCTATTGGATTGTAGGCCTGACTCTCCTCATCCATAAACAGAAACCCTACCTCATAGAGGTGTTTTAAAAGTCAAATAAAAAATGACATGAAGTGTTTAGTACAGAGCCTAAAGAGATAGGAAACACTCAAGAAAAGCAAAGCTATTGTGAATTACTACGAAAAGAGCTCAGATGCACCAGCAATGAGATACATGGTCTACAGATGGGCATTTAAATTCCTAAGGGTAGAGGTTTTCGAACATTTTGTTCACTGATGTCTTCCCAACTGCCTAGAACAGTGTCTGGCACATAAATATTTGTGCACTGGATGGATGAATCCCTAAGACTCTTTTCACTATAAAATCTCATTATTCTGAGAAAATGCAATGGAATTACTTACTAGATGCTAGAGCTTCTGCTTCAGTAGAAGGAACCTTGTAGATTTTTCCACCCTTATAGACAAAGCTCCCTTCAATCACTTTGAAATCCAGATAGCGGGTGACCTCTGTATAAAGCAGCATCTTAACCAGCTGACCTAGAAAAGTCACATAATGCAAACTTTTACTTAAGTCTTACCACCATTAAAAATTAGCAAAAATAAAAGTATATTCACTAATACTGACGGCTTTCCAAATTTTTCCTAATAATGTCCAATAACTCTGACAAAAAAAAAAAATCTCTAAAGCCATATTTTAAATAAGACAACCAGAATGCATACTTATTGCATTGCATACTGAGAAGCTTTCTTTCTTTAATGTTACAACTTAAAGGTTAATAATTCTTTTTTTTCTTTTTGTATCTTTTTTCCCTCAATTTACAGACAAGAAAAAAAGGTTAATAATTCTATCAACATGCTTTTGCAAAAGCTACAAAAACTTTATTAGAGATATGAGGTTTAGGATTATAGCATTACTGTAAATGGGTTTGGGTTGCTTCACAGTTTCTACTGTATTTTAAAGAGAGGCAACTCCCAAAATTTTCCAGTAATTTGTACTCTTCAATTTCCAACTCAATTTATATTTGTTAAGGTGAACATTAACTTCTGATTATGGCCAGGATTACAATTGGAAAGATTTTCTGCCTACAAACCAAAAACTTTTGGCTGGGAAAGGTGGCTCATGCCTGTAATCCTAGCACTTTGGGAGGCCAAGGTGGGAGGACTGCTTGACTTCAGGAGTTCGAGACCAGCCTGAGCAAGAACGAGATCCCGTTTCTACTAAAACAGAAAAAATTAACCAGGTGTGGTGGCTCGTGTCTATAGTCCCAGCTACTGGGGAGACTGAGGCAGCAGGATCGCTTGAGCCCAGGAGTTTGAGGTTGCAGTGAGCTATGACGACGCTACTGCACTCTAGCTGAGGTGACAGAGTAAGACACTGTCTCCAAAAAAAGGAGGGGGGAGGGTAACACATATTTTATGTAACACAAATAGACTTAGAACCAAAAATTTAGTTTTTCAATATCATCTCAGAAAAAGGTACTAATATCAATTTAAAAAGAGATTTAGCTCCTCTAAAGTCATCAAAATTAATATGAACATTTTAAAAGCCTACAAACTAGAAAAACATTAAAATGACTCTGTCTCTGAAAGCCCAGTTATCTAAGATTGTCATGAAAGTACCAAGAGGGAAGTGCATTACAAATGTTTACAATTTTGGTACATATTGGGCCACATCACAACTCTGTTTCTCTAGAACCAATTACTAGTAAGTCATACCCTCGTACCTCCTCCATTCTTAACTTATTAGCTCCAGACATCTAATGGACCATTTGACTCACCATACTGTTGCCTTTCAACAAAATCTAGTTCCTCACACCCAGAATAATACTCTGTAAAGTTAGGTTTGATGTTCGAGTTGGATTCAAAGTGCCATTGCAAATTTATCATAAATTTCAGTTAGAATTCTTTACCATTAGCCATAAGGAACTTGGGAATCAGGTCAACATTCCAGTCTCTTCCTCTCCCCATCGATGCTGGCGGTGGTCCTGGTAATTTAAATCTTTTGTATAACTAAAAGCAAAACAAAAAATACCCACGATGTTACAAAATTTAATTATTTATTGTAATACGCAACTATTTTTCATTAACTGGTTTTAGTATTAATATAACTAAGCACACCAGCCTGGGCAACACAGCAAGACCCCATCTCTACAAAAAATTAGCCTAGGGCAGCAGTGCACGCCTGTAATCCCAGCTACTGGGGAGGCTGAGGCAGGAGGATCGCTTGAGCCCACAAGTGCAAGGATGCCGTGAGCCATAGTTGCACCACTGCACTCCAGCCTAGGTAACAAAGCAAAACCGTTTCTCTTAAAAAAAAAACAAACAAACAAAAAAAAAAACCTAAGCACTACCGAAGTATGGAAAGTAGGAGGGCATTTCATTTTTTATCAGATAAAATTTTTAGCAAAGTTCTAACACATATGTAAATTAAGTATATTATTAAATTCATGAATGCTAAAATAAATATTACAGAAGTGAGTTTTTAATTTGTTTTTTTACTAGCAGAAAAAAATACAAAACTATTTGTCAATGATGCACTAGTTCTGCAGAAACCTCCCTTATTATCTGTAGAAATCATTTAAACTCATTCTCTCTTGAATAAAAAGCTAACAAAGGCTTAATTTTGCTTCTGTAGTTACATAAGGAATTAAAAATAAATTTTAGATTCTTCAAATCAGAAAAGTCATTTAAAATTAGTTCCAGTTCTTTATTGAGATATAACTGATGCTTTAAAAACTGCATATTTCATGCATACATACATTTTGATGAGTTTGGACATAGGCATCCACCCATGACGACATCACCACAAATTACTAATCAAAACCTCCAGCAATTTCCCTGTGTACTTTTGTGTTTGTTTTGTGGTAAGAATACTTGGTTAATTTACAATTTACATGAACTGAGAAGAAGCTCAGATAAAAGAAAGCTTATAGTTTAAAGAATACTCACTCAATCTCATGAATCCTATCGCTAAAGTAGAAGAGAATATGCAAAGTTGGCAGAAATTTAGGTACTAAAAATTCATGACTTCCTGAATATATGCACCAAAAAAGAAGAAACTTGCTCATCTTTTGAAGACCAGCCAATAAATGTACTAAGTGTGGGAGGCACGGTGCCAGCCTATCACGACACAGCTTACTGACAGCACAGAGATCTGGGTCAGCACCCAGACCAAGGGGTCGAACTTAGCATCCTGAATGGCTGGGTAACCTGACATCACGTGCCTCCTAATTGTGCTGCAATATGAAGTACTCAACAATAATGTCTAATAAACTAGCCTCAACTTCTCAAAAAAAAGAAGTGCGGAAACTTTTATAGATTGAGGGAATAAAGAGGAAACAATACCAAATGCAATACTTGAACCTTGAGTTAATCCTGAAACAAGACTACCACACAGCTGTATGATACATTCTTGGGATCACTGGGAAATCTGA